ATGTGCGGAGAAGCATTATTTTACATCAGACAAAAGTTTTGTCCAACAAATGGGGTAAATAGCACTACCTGATTTTTCAAAGATTGTTGAATATACAGTTGAGCGTTCAAATTGCCCCTTTGAATTGAAGCAAGTTATGTATGAGTCTCTAGAGAAATGCTTGCCCCCACCATTATACCACCTCCACCAAATTGAACTCTCGGGGTAAAACAACATTGCTGATAACGTTCACTACTTCTTCTCCATATCCTAGGCCTCCTATCTAATGAGTATCGTCAACACCCCGATTAAGATGTTCAAACGTTGCCTCCGATGATCTGTTGTGGATAGAGGTCCCGTGGCAGGTATTCTGGACCTTAATCCATATTCATTTAATCGTCTTCTAACGGTATAAACGGATACTGTGTTTCTATGGACGCCATTTAATCGTTGAATAAGTACTGGTGCTGATAATGTACGATTGCCTAACGCTCGTAACCTAAAAAAGCGATATTCAACTTGACTTGTAGTTTTTCTTATACCTTGACCTGGCCTCCTGATATATTATCCTGTTTCCCAAAATCTTTGTATTGCATTACACACTGTACTTCTAGAGAACATCCTTAAGCATTTGCGATGTAACGAATGTTTTGCCCATCAACCTGTAAAGCAACAGCTTGTGCTATACCTTCTGGTGCCATTATTTTTTTAATGCAAGTTTTAAACAGGAACAATGCAAAAACCTACCGCCGACCTTATAATCACAATAAGCTTAAATTAATACTAACCCACTAAACAAAACCTATGTGTAAAAGTGTTGTTGTTCGCACACAATATCTAAACAGATTCAAACAAGAAAAAATCTTTATCGCTAATAAGGCATAAAATACATTTAAAAAAAATTTTGATCACCAACACCAAAAAAAAACAAAAAAAAACAACTTAGAGCTGCTACCACTTAAAATAGCTGATCATATACATAAAAGAAACAGTACTCACAATACTTGATCTAAAAAGCAGCTCAACAGGACGTTGGCTTCCTGTATAGCCAATTCCTGGAGGCACAGATAGTTCTATGTTAAGCAGGGGGAAACTCAATTGCATCGAGACTAAATGCAACATACAGTTATTTGGCATACACCGAAGACCCTAATTGTAATACATGAGACCGTGCTTGTATTAACGGTAGACTATACTTGATTAGGCTGATACTTCAGATTCTACTCGAATCGGCATTGGATCATACTTCAGATAGTAGTGGATTATATTTTTGATTATACTTGGGACCCTAATAAAATAAGTCAATACAAAGTCAAAGGTACCCGAAGAGAAAGCAAAAATAAAAAGAAATAAATACCAGACATACCCTTTGTCAGGGGTTGGGAAAAGTAATACCATCGACTATATCGTACTGTACACTGGGAAGTGAATTTAATTTAAGAAAAATCCGTTTTTATTGAATATAATATTCAATGAGAGGTACAGTTATTTTTTGCGCTTCATTTATGGAATTATCTTTCGAATTATGCAAAAAACAGACCGACAACAAGTTAGTAGAAAGAGCCGATTGGATATTTTAACTGAACAATACATGAAAGTAGACAATTCGTTTAATTCATTTCCATAATCAATGAGTTTATTGTTTGGCGGTTGGTTTCATACAGAGCATTTAATAAAACGATCATAACACCTTAGAACTTAAGTACATCTTCAGTAGAACTTCTAAAGATTTACAAACGGATATTAATTCGGTAACTGATATGCTTGAGTAAGGTTTATATTATCGCCTTAACATAAGTCAAATTGAACGCGTTGTAAGCTATTTTAGAATATATTTATAAGAATGTATATACAGTGTGATTTAAGATTTAATACAAAATTTAGTTAAATATATTAATCGTCATTTTGACACATTACACACTCTCTTTGATACTTGTTCCTTATATATTTCTAACAAATTCTATTCTTTTACTAGACTTCGCTTCGTCAAGAAGTTTTCTCTCGGTCCGCTTTCTCTCAAGGAATCAGTTGGTTCATTCCCTGGGGCTCACACATGTAGTGGTCCCATAGTAGAGATACTTTATTGTCTAATATTAGTTTATTAAGGAGATCCTTTCAAGTTCTTACCAGTTTAGGTTTGGCAAGTGTGCTTTATCGCTAATGTCTCAGACAAGGAAAGAGAGGGGATGCGTAATCGTATGGAACTGACTGGTGCCTAAACTAACACCAGAGAGTTTGTCAGGTCATATTTTATTTTTTTTAGTAGGTTAAGGATAAAAGAGGTATATCAATAAATGGAAAAATTTTTATAAAATTTATTATTAACCACTGATATAATGATCACTTTTTGAACATAATTTTATCATTAAATTTTGTTTAGTAGATCGATAAAGTGTTTTAGTAGATCAGTAAATTACAGTTAAAATCAGTAGCTGAAAAATCAGTAGACCTGGCAACCCTGCGAGAGGTAGTAATGGGCAACGTACAGGCACCAAAATATGGTGGTTACATCGAAACTGGACTCACTTTGCGAAGTTTTGTTAAATGAGCGTTATCTGTCGTCTCTCTTTCCTTGTCTAAGGCCAGTGTTCTTTACTAATCTAACCTAACCTATAATGTACAGACGTTAAAATAGTTTTGGTTGATTTAGGATTTATTTTTAAAGTTCCTTTTGTACTTGGATTGATCAAGTTCTATTTAGTTATATTCTATTTAACGGTTGCTTTAATTTAAATATTATTATATCAGCAGGCTTAAAACAATCGTTTTGGTATCGTAAAAAATTATTAAGTTGAAACATCTACACTATATAAAAAACATTAAGATTTAAATAGATATGAGTACTAAAGACAAATTAACTAAGATAAATTTGATCGCAAAAATGTCGTTAGTATCGTATTGAAATATTAAAAAATCATCAGTGAAGTTTGAGTTATATTCTATTTAACGGTTGCTTTAATTTAAATATTATTATATCAGCAGTCTTAAAACAATCGTTTTGGTATCGTAAAAAATTATTAAGTTGAAACATCTACACTATATAAAAAACATTAAGATTTAAATAGATATGAGTACTAAAGACAAATTAACTAAGATAAATTTGATCGCAAAAATGTCGTTAGTATCGTATTGAAATATTAAAAAAATCATCAGTGAAGTTTGGCTCAGTTTGCTGGTAATAGCCGTTGGACAAAGTCGTCCTTCTTTCTGGAAAATGTATGTTCCATTAAGGTGAAATTCTGTAACATAGAGCTTGTGTCATCAGTTTATCACATTTAACCATAGTTGTAATTTAATCCAAAGGTTTTTACACCTATTTTCGTAGCTAGTTTTAACTATTTTTAAAAATGTTTTACTGATGATACTCCGATTGGACCGAAAACGTTTTAAAAAATTATAATCTTTTTCGATAAATTTGAAACATTTTTAACAAAGTATACCATTATACACAAGAAGTGCTTAGTATATTCTCTATAAGTTTGTTTTAACTGGTATACAGCCAGTATACCAGTTAAAAAAATACTATATTAACAAATGAATATGAATGAAAATAAAAATAACGCACATTAAATGTTGTCATATAGTTCAGGATAAAGATGGTATTCGGCTTTTTATATCCATCTATTTGCTTGAAATGATGACTGCAGCTAGAAAATAGTTCAAGGATCAAAATCTACCCTATGCCAATATGTGTTTTCATTAGAAGGTGGTTACCACCCTAACTCGGGGGTGGAGAATATTACCAAAAAAAAACAAAGTAGTCGTTAGCATAGTGAATTTTAAGACAATAATGTTATTGAGTTGTTTTTTTGAAAAGTCAATGCACTTAGAGTTATTCGTGCTTATAAAACAAAGAGATTTGATTGTTGATATTACGGTTAACTTAATAAGAAAAATGTTATAGCAGTTCGAAAATAGATTTTGATTAATCGAATACAAAAATCCAAAAATATGATATTGAATAATCAGAAAATGGCTACAAAAATCTTTAAAATGACCAATGGTAAAAGTTATATGCATTAAAATGAAGGCAAATTGTAACTAGAATAAAGTCCGCTTATATTTTTTGTGACACAGAAAATAACAAACTCGCCCCGTCAAAACCACCCTAGTTGAAACTATTCGTTGTTCATTTCCAATTTACTTTATATATACAAACATTACATTCTGCAAGTTTACCTGGTTTAAAAGGTTTAATTTTAATTTTAAAAAGACATTATTTTCGGAATTTCTCAAAAAATCCCCTGTTTTCCGCTTATTCAACATCATATATGTTTATATTTCTGTATTTGGTGAAAAGTTTACTTTCCTTTCGAACTATCACAACATTCTTAATATTAAATTTAGTTAATAAAAAACAAAAAATCTCTGTATTTTATAAACTTCATTTTATATTCAAACACTTTTCCTCATACAATCTAAAGTTTTGGGTTCGCGAAAATCAAGCATAACAATATGCTTTTTGACGTGAAATTTGCAAACTTTTGGTCACAAACAACTAAAAATTATTGACTTTTCACTCCCGAGTTAAAGTGATAATCACCCCCAGAGGAAAAACTTATATTGACATAGTGTAGATTTTAATCTTTAGCTATTTTCTACCTGCCGTCACAATTTCAAGCAAATCGATGTATTATAAAAAAAATACTATTTTTACCGTCATATCCTGGACTAATATGATATAAAATAGCGAATACTGAATCTTAAATTAAAATAAAAAAGCTAAAATGCTTTTAGTATTAACTAAGTATTTAAAATTAAGCCCTAGTCAGAAATGTTAACTCTTTCTATCTTTGGATTTAAATTTTTAACTTAGTTTAAACAAGAACTACAAGTAGCACTAATGTATTTGGCTTACTTGTCAATGGAAAATAATACAGTATATTTATAGTCATTTCCATATTTAAATAATTTAAATTATAATGTAGGTTAATGTTAGAGTAATGTAAACATTTCAAATAGAATAAATTTTTTCTCTTTATTTCCTTAAATATTATCTAATTATTTATTTTTCTTTTCAGGTCCAGATGGTTGTAATCTGTTCATATACCACTTACCGCAGGAATTCACCGATACGGACCTTGCGTCAACGTTTCTCCCCTTCGGTCCAGTCATATCCGCCAAGGTGTTCATAGATAAACAGACAAATCTGTCCAAATGTTTTGGTTTTGTTTCATTTGATAATGCGCATTCAGCTCAACAAGCCATATCAGCTATGAACGGCTTTCAGATAGGCACCAAGAGGCTGAAAGTACAACTAAAAAGGGCCAAAGATGCCTCCAAACCTTACTAGCCAAAGAAGTGACAGAGCCAATTAGACGCAGGTCTGCTTAGGTACATAGCAGGCCTCTGTGATCATCAATATCTATTTTTCTCCTGCGCAAACGAGCCACACCGATTTTCCTTTATTTTACTTCAGGTCAAGAAGCGTGTGATGCTGCTGCCGGCCTCGTCCGATTGGCCCACAATCCAGCACAGTGCCAGTGCAGTGCAATCTCAGGATCTAGCTGCTATTTTTATGAACTGTGAGATATTTTTACTAGTTAACTGCGGTCGATAGGCCGCTTTGTAAATTCAAAATGATGTATATGACGAGGATGTTCGATTATATTTAGAAAAGGCGAAGTTTTTGACCAAAAATTTAGGAAATAAAATATTAATTTTACTGTGTAACTGATACAGCCTTCTTGTATACGGAAGAATGAAAATGGCCCAAATAATAATCTTTATTGTTTAAAGATAGTTTTGAGCACTTTAGTTCAAGCAGCTAAATCGTCTTGTGATATGAATAAATTAAAGACCGAATCAAAAGGTTTAATAATTTTAATAACGTTAAAATCGTTAATTAAAGTACATAACATTGTAAAGTTCATACGACAAAATAATCTTTAAGAACACGGTTTATTATTCAATTATAGATATTACTAACAATAAAAATAATATCACAAAGCTTGTTTTAAACCTAAAATTGATTTTAATATGTAAGCTATACATTCTATTTTATACTTTCTAAAATTAAAACTATAAAAAAAGAAAATTTAAAATCCATTTTTGGGTCAAACTTGTATGTGATAGTATGTTTATTCTTGATTATTATTTGAAGATTAAAGGTATTTGGCTGTTCTAAAAGCTGATATTTTTACCACATAAAAATTATGATATTGCTTTAACGAAAGCAGCGAAATGGTGTCTACAGTTCTGTTGGATTAAGGCCAGTAGAATATTATTTTATATAAATGATAGCAGAACTTTATAGCAGCAGTTAATTTTAAGTTAGATAAGAGTACCTAGTCTTATTTTAGAAAAATATTATTTTCCTAATTACCAAAATCGCTTTCTATAATCTTGCGTTTCCTTAAGAAATCCAGAAAAAAATGTTGATAACTTAAAATCCTACTTTCCAGGTGTCTTTTGAATTCGCAAAATAATCATAACATAAAAAAATAACTTCAATTACATAATTATAATTTTATTAATTATATGTTAAGAAAAATTCAAACTCATTTACTGGGAAAGACAGGTAGAATACATTCTTATTTCTGCTTCAGCATGTTTCTTGAACTGTGAATGTTAAAGAGGCCAGCTGATGATAATTTCAATTTAAACTTCACTGAAGGAGTACCCTGCATTATTAACGTAGGTTTCTAGTCATGTAAACCGTTGGGATTTTGTGGCATTTGATCATTAAATTTAAAAAATCGACATGGTTAAACTAGTTGATAATACTTAAAACATACTTTTTATGTATTGTAACTTGGAAATAGCAGGTAAGCAAAGCTAAAACTGAACGTGTCGAAAGTTAATATTGTAAGACATTTTTTCCCATTTGTTGTTCTTTCTTTTTACTTATAATTTAACACAATTTCAAATATCTGTTACTAATTTATTAAACGATAACAATTGTTCATACTTTGAATGGAAACTTAGCGCTGATGTTTTAAAATAATTTTAGCATGTTACAAAATTTTATTTTAGGTTTAAAAGACTGGTATATTTAATCGGGCAGCTATGTAATCCACTAGTTTAAAAGAAATTAATTAAATTAATTAAATTCAGTCAAATATGCATTATCAGTTACACGGTAAATCTTTTTTAAAACTTCGTCTAATCTAAAAGTACTATTTTTCCTTTATTTTCTTGTTTTTTCCTTTATGGGGTCTTTTATGTCGTGTTGGTTCGACAGTTCTTTTGATTTTTATTTTTGTGTTGTTCGTGGCGTACGGCGCGTAAAGCACATCCTCTGTTGTTTAGTTATAAATTTAAAAAATTAGGCCATATATGTAAAAATGTTGAGTGCATAGTTACGTTTTTATTTTGAAGTCTACCTAGTTTTAAGGTTACAGCTACTCGCCCAACAATCGGCATTGTTCGGTTGCGTTGGATGAGCAGCCGTTTCCTATATTTTTATTATTAGTAATATCCATTTTTATTTATATACACAAGTGAAACATCTGGAGCATGATTTTTTGAATTGTACCTTTATTTTTTATTGTTAATGATTAAACCAAAGTACAGACCAAAAATATTTATCGCTGTTTGTGTTAATATTCCTGCAGAGACTTTATGTAAATGGCAGAGAACGAACATAACTCAACAGTACATTAAACAATATAACGCGCTTAAATACATATTGACAAATCAAATACGGGTAATATAACCATACGGATGTTGTGCCGAAATATTCCTCTACATAATATTTACAAGGAAATACAACAATAACCAGAAATTAACTTAAACTGCTGTCTACGCTTTACTTTTTTATTAGAGAATAATAAGTGAACAATAAACAATATAACCAACAATAAAATTAGACAATAATATACTAACGGTATAAATGCACATAGTTTCTTTTGCTGAGAAATTAAAAAAATACTGAATTCCTAAAAATAAATCATTTTATATACCGATATCCTTTATAGATGTCTAACTGGGCGCCTCCCCAGTTCTTTTTTGATTTTTCTCTCCTACTCTTCCCAGGAACTTGCAAGTGAAGTTTATACTCATTTATCCTCTGGTCCTTAATTTTTAAAACAATTGGTGCAATCCCTAGACTTCCCCTAATAATGGTTTCTTATTTGATCCCTTTTTATCACTTCACCCAATTATCTAAGAATTATTATATCCGCCACATGCATTCGTTCTTCTTATTTGTTTTTCACCGTCCAACATGCAGTACTTCATAGTGCCTTATAGCAGTTTTATAAAATTTTCCTTTCAGTTTTCTTGAAACTTTTCCGCCACAAAACATACTCCTCGCTTCTTTTCACTCTCCATCTCACTCTAGCTTTTCTGCATACATCCCATTTACTTTGTAATGCCGATATTAGATAATTAAAACTATTACTTTTTACGATTATTTCACCATCCAAAACTATTATTTCAATTGTAGTGGTAACTCCATCCTTAATTGAACATTCCCACTACTCTGTCTTTGTACAACTAAGATTTAAAGCTTTTTTCTCGAGAGCTTATCTCAACTGTCTCAGTATTTGTTTTAAATTGCTTTCAGTGTTTCGTAGTAATACTACATTATCAGTATATATTAAGTACCAGCGAATATTACCGTGAAGTTTCTCTGTTATCTGATCCAACGGGAATAAGAATATAAAGGACTAAGTACTTAGTACTGATGCAATCCTACGTTTAAATGAAATTTATCAGTCTTTCCCACGCTGTCCAAAAAATAGTTCTTACTTCCCCATACATGTCTTTCACAATCTTCACATCTACTTCTTATTGTGCCGTCTTTTAACGACGGTTTTAAATGCTCCCCTATATTTTACAACGTGAAATATCTGTTCAACACTAAGGTTAGTTCAATCTCTGGTATTTCTCAGCCAAGATTTCTTCTTTCTTCCTTTTCCTTTGCCGTGCATGATTACGTGTAGAAGAGAGTATGTATTGTTTCAAAGTATATGACTCAGATCAATGTTTTGTATGTATTTGGTTTTATCTATATTTATTGTTAGTTTCATCTTTTTGCTTTATCTGTTAATTATTTCTGTAAGAATTTGTAAATCGTCTATATTTTCTGCCAATATTGCAGTATCGTCTGCAAACCTTATGTTATTTATGATGTTCCCTCCAATCCTGACACCCTTAAGTCTTTCCCATAGTGCCTCCTGAAATATTAGTTGGGAGTACATTCTAACTAATTGTGATTAAAGTACACATTCCTTTCTGACTCTAATATATAATATATAATCTTCATATCATCGTTATTCTGGCTTTACAACCCTGCGTGGGTCCTAGCTTCCTCAAAACTTTCTTTCCAGTCGTCCCTATACATCGCCTTCCGGCAAGCACGTATTGGATCTTCCTCTTTTTCTCTGACCAATGGGTCTATAAAGGAGCGTTTTTCTAGCTGGGTCATTTTGTTCCATCCGCATTACATGTTCTATCCACCTCTGACGTCCTATCTTAATATGTTTTAGGATATCGAGTTCCTGGTATATTTTATAAAGTTCGAAGTTTTATCGTCTTCTCCATACTGTATTGTTATTTACTGCTTCATAGATTCACCTTAGTACTTTTCTTTCGAAACATCCTAACATCTTCTATTATTTTTTGTTAAAGTTCAGGTCCCTGAACCATATGTTAGGACTGGGCGTATTATTGTTTTGTAGAGTTTTATTTTTGTATTTCTTGATATAATTGTGGATTTCAGGAGGAGATTGAGTCCAAAATAGCATGGATAGCATAGCTGTTGGTCCTACAAATTCTGCGGCTTATTTCTGCGGTAGTATTTTTTCAGTATTAAGAAGCGCTGCCAGGTATACAAATTCGTTCACTGTTTCGACGACGTCGTTTTCTATAACGAGTGATCGTAGGATTTGTGGTTGCGTGCTTACTTCGTTTTGTTGGTGTTTATCATTAAACCCATTTTTGTAGCTGATTCCCATTTTAATGCTATATACGCCTCTCATACAGCGTTTTGCGTTCTCCTAACAATATTGATATCATCAGCATAGGTCATAATTTGCACTGATTTATTATATATTGAAACCAATGGTTGTGATTTGTGACATACGTATTACTTTTTCCAGAGCCAGATTGAACGCTATACAGTAGAGAGGGTCTCCCTGGAGAACCCTATTATTTGTTTTGAAAGGTTCAGACAATTTCCCCTGAATTCGTACTCTACATTCAACTTTTTTAATAGTTAGTTTTGTTAGATTTACCAACTGATTTGGTATTCCTAGCTCTTTCATTGCTTTGAACATTTCTCGTCTATTTAAAGAGTCGTAGGCTGCTTCGTAGTCATGTAGATGTAATGAGTATCAATGCCATATT